CAAAGGGCCACCAAGATGACAAAGGGCCACCAAGATGACAAAGGGCCACCAAGATGACAAAGGGCCTGCAGCACCTCTCATATTAGGAGAGGCTGGGAGAGATGGGACTGTTCAGCTCGGAGAAGAGGAGGCTCACGGGGTTGTCATTAATGCCCATAAATACCTGAATGGGGGGTTCAAGGAAGACGAAGCCAAGATCTTTTCAGGGGTGGCCAGTGCCAGGACAAGAGGCAATGGGAACAAACTGGAACACAGAAGGTTCTCTCTGAACACCAGGAAGCACTTCTGCTCTTTGCAGGTGATGGAGCACTGGTACAGCCTGCCCTGAGAAGCTGTGGAGTTCTCCTCCTTGCAAATCTTCTTAAGTCACCTAGATGTGGCTCTGGGCACCCTGCTTGAGCTGGGTCTGATGGACCCAGAGAGCCCTGTCAATCCCAGCCACTCTGTGGTTCTGTGATCCAGCAGATATTTTAATTGGATCTCATGGGCCCTCACTTCTGTCAGTTCCTCATGTAAGGTCTAAAACCATAGAAGTGTTAAAATGGCAAATCAGATTCAGACCTTTTATTCCAAGTGAATAATACTCCTATATCAAAAAGTTGTTCTACAACCATTCTGAATCTAATCACTGGTGGAAAGGTAACAAAGTGATTTTCAGAGAAAAATCAAGGTTTTCTAATTTTCTAGAGAGTTTTTTTTTTTTTTTTTTTTTTTTTTTTTTGTCATATGCAAAAATTTCAAAAGCAAATAAAAGCTGGAATAAAGGCGTAAGTGGTTTTCCTTCAGAATTTTACACCTGAATCAAAAGAGCACTTGGGTAACATGAAGTTTTACAGCAGATCATGCTTTTCATTAATGACACTGCAGGTGACTTCTCTCAACACTGTGTTTATAATCTGTTGGATTACAGGCTGTACAAGACTGGGAAATCCACATGCACTAAAAACTTCTTTCTGAAATTCAGGACAGCAGCAAAATGGCACATAGACAGACTTTACTTCCTCTACACTGTTTTCAAACATCATGGAGCATTACTTCATTCATTAGTTTCCAAATACTTTCCCACTACTGAAATTCAAACTGTTATGCATTTAAAGTCCTCCTGACAGCACTTGCGGGGTTCTTTTCATGCACAAAAATTCCTATTCTGCTCTACTTAATTAAATTTCTTCTTGAAACCTCTGCTCCTCTCGCTTCTTTTAAGGATGATTTAGATTCTTCCCACCCAAAGTCGAGGGGAACTTTCAACCTCCTTCATGAACCCTTCTGGTTTTGTTTATTACATTAGCAAACCTTTCAGTGATTAATAACTGACAGCAACTTGTTGGATTGTTTAACCTGTTTCGTGAAGCAACTTTGTAACGCCCAGTGTTCATCAAATGACATAGGAAACTTAATTCTTCTATTTACCCTCAAGGTAAGCCATGCTACTACATAACATATAACAGGGCAAGATCCATATATTCCATTAAGGTTCAACCCTCCTGAGAAGCCACATTTACATTCATAAGCATGCTCAGGTGATTTAACTTCATTATAACCACTAACTTTGTGCTATTAATGAGGCATGGAGAAACTGGATTCAGTCTTAGGAATTCTCCAAAATTTAATATTTTCTACTTTGCATGCAAAAATCTTCATGAATTGTTATTTATAGTTACTCTAGAATAAGCCAGCAAAATTCAGAATTTGGCTAGCTCCCCAAGCCCGATTTTAAACATCACTTGCACCAGAATTAGATGTGTTTTCATTGATTTGAAGATTAAAATCAGCATCGGTCAGACCACTGAGAGGTCTTTTGTTCTTAAAATAAAACCTTCATTTCATTTTGAGCCACGTGCAATCTAGATGGTGAATCAGCTTCAGGAATAAAACAAAAATAAAATATTCTGCTGCTCATCATAAAACAGCTTTAGTGTTACCAAAACACACTACACTTTCCATCTCTAAATATTCCCACTATGATGACATTTGTTTGCTATGCTCTATAATGGCAAGCAAGCCACTTCTAAGAAACGAGTCCCATTTGCCAAAAAGACTTATCAGCAAAAAAAAAAACACATAATATGGACAAAACTTAATCTGGATAGCACATAACTAATCTGCAGACCATGTTGAGTTGTATCAAAAGGTCACATCTGACCATTACAGAGAAGTTTCTTTTTCTGGTTGATTTTGGTTTTTAGTTCTTCTTCTTGTCAAATAAGGTGACAATAACTTGCACTAAATAGCTAGGGTGCCTGGCATTGTTTTCAAAATTGAAGTAGGTTTGCCCATGTGTTACTTAGAAGTTTAAAACTCAAAGGTGATTGATTTAGGTATTACAAGGAAGGAAGAGGTAAATAGTAATGTAATATTCATTTCATGAGATATATACTCAGAAATGTTTTCCTCAGACTGAAATGTGAAGGTTTTTTCCTTGTATTATTTAATTCAATTCTGCAGTTATGGAAGTTCAAGGAGATTCAAGGAACTTCTTGTTTTTGACAGCATTTTGCTGAAAGTCTGCAACACTGTAGAAAAAGTATCCTATATCCTGCAAAATATCCTATAAGTGACAACTGTATCAAAATAAAAATCAACATAAACTGTATGTCACATTACATATTTAGTAGTTGTTTAATTTTAGAAATCTAATAATGCTCATAAAGCATATTTGCTAGATGACTAATTAGTTGGCATTCAACCTAAATGATGCCAAACATAGCACATCTCTCGTATGCGTGCAGAAATGTCTTTAACTTCTCAGCAGAGAGTAGATGGAAAAAAAGCTACCTGTTCTTAATGATTCCTCTGGGTGTTCAATAAATTCAGTTTCCACTTAAGCTAAGCTATAGGAGGCCTCATTTATTCAATACGCTGAAAATAATAAAGAAGCAATCAATGATATTAGCAGAGATCATGCATGTGAGCACAATATATGGTATGTATGGAACGTGTTGGCATACACGTCAGTGTGGCTGTATCACGTGTATGAAGAAGGTACTTTCAGAGGAGGAAGAAAGTATTTCACAATATAAACCTACACAAGGATCTCGTTCAATTCCGCATAGAAGCAGCCTATAAAATGCTCTACTAGCTTTGCACATCATGAAAAGCATTGTAGCACTTCTTTTTAAACCTTTTAAAAAAAAGGATTAAAAAGAAATAAAAAAAAAAAAAAACCACTTTCAAATCTGTGTTTTAATAGCTCCATGCCCGACTATAAAATAAATTTGTATTTTGTCCCAATCCTGATTATTATCAGTTCCACATCCCAACAGTAACACCAGACCCACACTGAAGAGCCAACCTGGCTTCTCGCTCACAGCACAAGGGGCACAGAAAAAACTGAAACCCAACATCCACACCGTGGGGGCGGGCAAATTCACGACCCCTCCAGTCCCGATACCTACACAGCAACTGACTACTTCCAAATCCAAGCTAGAACGGGAGCAACTTGGGTTACTGCTGCGTGCCCGGGTTCCCGAGCGTCGGCTTTCCCTAACTAGTTGGACAGAGCCCATCAGCCACACGACCCCGCAGCACAGACAGAACTACCCTCTCTCTCCTCGGCACCTGGGTGGCAGCAGATCCCGGCACTGGACAGTCTTCCCACCCCCACCGAGCGGTGCGCCCGCAGCGCCGCGGACCCGGCTGCGCGCACGGAGAGCCGGGCTGAGCCTTGCGCTCCCCGCGGGCCCCTCGGATGGACGGCGGTCACCCCCGCGCCGCGCCCGTACCTCCGAATCCCGGGCGCAGCCGGTTGTCATAGCCATCCAGGAGACTGTTGAGGATGCTGGTGAAATTCTCCGGCCACAATTTCTCCTCTTTTTTGATCTGTCCCGGCGGCCCGGTGAGACTACGAGTCAAAGAGGAGGCGGGTGAGCGGAGTCGCTGACACCCGGCTCGGGGCAGCGGCACCGCTACGAGCCGTGCCGGGTGGGGGTCGCCCCGCGGCCGGTGAACTCACCACGTCGCCAGGCACAGACAGTGCAGAAGGGCGATGGAGAGACCCGAGGACATGGCGAAGGCTGGCTCCTTGGCAGAAACCATCTTTGCATGCCATACTTCACGCCTGGGCACGTTGTCCGGGGCGGGGGACGGCGGCGGCGCCGGCAACCCCCGGCGGCCCTACATGCGCGGCGCCCCGGTTGCCAGGAGCCAGGCACGGGCAGAGAAGCGGCGACTCTCCCCACGCTGTTAACTCTCTCGGGGCAACAGGCACCGGTCCGCGCCGCACCCGCCTCCGGCCCGCTCCGCCCCGCCCCGCTCTCCCACCCGGGCCGCCTCAACCCCCTCCGGGCGGCCGGGAGGCGCCGAACCTGCCCGAGAGCTGCCTCCCGCCCGGGGGAGGGCGGAGCGGAGCCGCGGGGGAGGTGGCACTCAGCCCGCCCGGGCCTCGTCCTGGCGCTCCGTGCCTCGGGCTCCCCGGCTCGGGGGATATTGCGGAGGATGTGTGCTTGGGGTTACGTTGAGGTGCGTGCCTATGTGTGAAGATGGATGGTTTCTTTCCCCATCTGTCCTAGTGAGGACTGCAGTGTGAAGTCTTCATTTGCCGTGGACGACTCCTCTCCCGAAGGGGAAATAAAGCTGAGAGCTGGCAGAAAGAGCCTAATTCCCAGAGAGGGTCCCTCAGCTGGTAGTGTGAAGGTGTTAGATGAGGGGAAGAGCTGTGACTTCAAGGTTAAAATGGAGCGCACCTGAAAGGGGTGGGAGTTAGTGGGTTATCCCACACTTCTGGAAGCAGAAATGCCAGAAGCCTGGAACTGGTTTCACGTTGTATCTTTGTTCCTTTCTTTTTTCAGTTTCCTATAATTAGGAAGCCAGGCTAGTGACCCAAATAATTTCCATTATCCAAGGTCCAAGGGATTCTGCAGCAATTACCCACTCCAAAGCATTGCTGTTCTGTCAGAGACAGAATGGGGCTTTTGGGAAGAAAGAGAAGAGATGTTCAGGATGTTCTTCCCTCACATGCTTTCACTGACAATAAACAACTTCAGACCAGGTGTGCTGCAGAGTCCTTTACATTTGGAGATCAGTGTGCATGCTAATTTCAAGGACAGTGAGGTTTGTTGTGCCAGAGCACACGGATCAGGTATGGTAATTGACCTCAAGACTACAGTACTGTTTATGCCAACATAAAAAGGCTTTATTCATTACATGCTACAATATCTCCAAGCACTGAGGTGCCTGATTATCCTCGGAACTACTGTACATGTGAAATCTTCCTGATTGTACTTAGAGTTTACTCTAGCTAGGGTGCCCTTTGCTGATTGAAAAACAATTAAAGCTGTGCTTCAAATCCATTTAGCTTGCTGATGCTGTTTATCTTAAAAAAAAAAAAAAAAAAAAAAAAAAAAAAAAAAAAAAACCTCCAGTCAGTCAGTTCTGCTTCCAATTTTAAAAGCTCTATTTAGGCCTCTGCAGATTGTGTGTCTGCTTCCTGATATTTTAACTGATGAAATGCAGGCATTTCTCAGCAGTGCCCTTCTCACAGGTACAACCACTGTGTTCCTTAATAAATAGAAGGCACCGGGCACTAAGGCAGGTTTATCACAACAGAAGGTGTGATTTTTTTGACTCATGACTTTATCCTATCCAAATTTGCCTTCAGGATAGACTGAAGAAGAGGGCTGAATGACCACTTAAGTGATAAGTAGTACTGTGATATTTGAGTCCAGTCCTGATCAAAGCTAGGTCACTGTTTAAAGAATCAATTGGCTTTCTGCTACTCTACCTTTCCTCTCCTATTTGAATTCTGGCTTTTTTGCCCCAAGTCTTGCTAGATCCTCATCTCCTGACTGCCTTGCTGGAATGATGAATGCTGTGCAAAAACTAAACTAAGTGAGCAGCCTGCTTACAGACAGCACGTATGTTCTGCGGAGTATTTATAAGCTCGGACTATGGTAGGATGTCAGTCCAAAGTAACTTAGCCCCAGTGAGGACTCCCAGTGTGAGAGCAGCCTGGTGGAAACTAGCACACTGTCAAGAGCCCACTGTCCTTGCTCCATTAGCAATCTGATCAGGAATGACAGCAGCGTGTATGAGCAGCTCTTCAGGAGGCTAATTTCCTCACATCATTTAAGTTTGCCAGCATTAATCAGACTCTTTTTGTATATAAACAGATGTAATTTGTTTTTCTGGACTAGTCTTAGTCCCGTGTTATAGAATGAACTCGTACAAGGGAGTACTTAGAAGTATCCTCCAGTAATGAGAATTGCTACTTTTACAGTACCCTGTGAGAAAAATCAATCCATATGGCAAACCAGTGAGATTATCTGATCTAGGGATATCTCAGAAAAATTTTGCTGGCAGAAGATAAATTCACAAAATTAAAGCAAGGGCAATAGATGATAATTCAGAAGTGGGAAGAAGAAGACCAGAAGTGGCTGGTCAGACGTAGAGAACAAAATCCAGCTCTACAGTACTGTCACTTCTAGCAGCTGCTGTGGAAGGAAGCCAACAATATCCTGGCAGAGCTGGGAACACCCTTGGTTTCAAATTATTACATGTACAGACACCTGTGTGAACTGAAATAGAAAAGCTGAGTGGTATTCAGTAGTATTAATCTCTCCAAACAAGTGTCCTGAGAAGCATTATCAGTCAGCCTCCTCAGGGATCTGTGCCTGGAGTCATAGGAATTGTGGGTGCTGCAGGCCCAGTAGCACCACTGCAGGTAGAAAACATACTCAGTCATTCCCTTTCAAGTGATTCCCAGGTTCTTTAGAACAAACAATAATAATAATATCTTCTGTCTTCTTAGTAAAGGTAACATCAGGTTGAAAGGTCTGTGAATATACCATGTCAGGGCACCAATAAATCAGTACTCCTGGCATCTGAGAAAATTCACAGGTTGTATTTGATAAGAAAAGGTAGACATTAATGTCTTTCTGTCACATTCTGCCTGCTGCATGTTATATTGATGTAGAATCAAGCGCTCTTTGACGGCATTTACTCCCTACGTGTGTTTAAACTGCAAGAGAAATCTAGATTTCTCTAAATCAAGAAAATTAGAATACTTATTTATCAGCAGTATCTTCCTTATCCCACTTTACAAAGAATTTACTAAAATTAATACTGAAAAACAGAAACCACTATCCTTGATGTCTGAATGAGTGTGTCATTCATATGCTGCTGAAACTTTTACAAATCAAGGTTTGAGGGGAACTTAAACAGTCCAGACAGACAGTAAACAGTCCTGTAAGCCAGATATATCACTTCTGCCTTTTGGTAGAATCCAATACCCTGGCTATTTTCCAACATTTTTGAATCACACCTTTAGTGAATTCTGTGCATTTGTGGCATAGACACATACAAAAACTCCCAGGATGACTATTTGTCATCAGCAGATATATGCTGATTTAAGAAAACAAACAAACAAACAAACAAAACTACTACTTTAAATCTTCTTTGATCACTTCAAAGAATTTCTGGGTCATGTCATCTCTTTAAACAAATTTGATGACTTGAAAAAGGTTTTAGTGGTCGCAGTCTGGACTGATAGTCTCTAAATATGTTTTCTGAATTCAGCATTTTCTCAGCTTCTCTAGCTTTTACCACCTATTCTTCCAAAATTTCTCCCAAGATATCTCACCCATCATGGACTATTGTAAGAAGGGGACTATTTTTGCCCAGCACCATATGCTCAGAAAGCACTTGAATAACTTAAATAGGCTTTTTTTACTGCCCCTGTGTTGATACATCCCCCTAATGATTTTTGATGAAGCAGATATTCTGGCCATGCCTCAAAAGCAGCTTTAGTCAAAGCTATGGAAGAACTTTTTATTATTACAACATGTAGAGCAGCAGGAAAAAATTACAGCACTCTTCCCATTTCTACTTTACTATCAGATCAAGTGGAAACAAAAAGGAAGTCAGTGCTTTGCTTGTGGAACACATTACATAGCCTTTCTGTATTTTTTATTAACGTTTTTTTTAACTGTAGTCTCCAACAACTTTGCAGGTTATATAAGCAAATCATGGTTTGCAACCTTTTTCCCAGAAAACTGACATGACCTACGCCCGGCATCAAATACATTAAGACAGCCAAGCTTACTTGGAAAAGACCGAGGAAGTCTTTAATGCCATCCCTGGACAATTATGGCCCTATCTCATTTTTGGTAAATTACTGAAAATCATACAGGTCCCTTTTCAGTATTTTGTAATTTCTGGTTTTTGATCCCCTCCTTGCACCTTCCTTGTGAGTGCAAGGGTCTTTTGTTCTTTTCTTCCACATCTACACAGACTGAAGAGATTGTGGGAAAAATACATCTGCTCTTAGCTTTGTCAAGACTTTGATCTAGAACTCAGGAGAAGCCCAAACCAACTGTTTAGGGAGGAGCATTGGTGGGGAGTCTGTGGACTGTGAGACCTGAAGTCACCTCTACCAGTATGGTTATCCATATGCAGTCTGGGTTCTGGGTCTGTCGAATACAATTTAAGTTCTGCTCAGGGAGCAGTAAAATAGATGCTTCAGATTTTTTCATCTCTTCTTCCTATCCAGCTTTCCCTTCCCACTGTAGTTCTGTCATTAGCACATTTCCTTTGGGACTGCACCTTTCAGTATCTGATTACAAAGTTGTTAACTCCAGTTTTAAAAGAGTTCCACTGAATGGATTGTAGCTAACATTACCAGATGCAATTCCTTCTCTCAAGAGCTTACAGTCTAGATAAATAAGACTAACTAAGGATTGGGAAAAAGCAAGCACTATTATTCCTATTTTGCTGAGAGAAAAAAAATAAAACCTAATTGACAACCCAACTTCATGGAGGAAATTTGCAGCAGAACAGGAGCTTACCACCAGCCTGCTGGGTCCCAGTACAGTTCTCTAAACACCACCTCAGATGTCCTTTCAAAGCGCAGCGTAAGCTTTATGTAAAACTGTAACCTTCAGCTGGTCCAGCTTTGCTTCACTTCCATGGCCAGAACTCCTACGAAACTGCAGGAGCTGATGCCGACATGCATTTAGCTGTATATTTTTTCCTCTGACATATGGTATTTACAAGACTGTTCTACAGTACCATGGTTATTTTAACACACATGTCCTCGATGCC